AGATGCTTTTTGCTGGTTGCAAAATTCAGAAGGAACTTTTGTCGAAATTCCTTAAAAGATCAATTGGAATTGGGAGGAAGTGTTAAGAACCATGCCTACGCTTCCACGGTCAGAGTTATGGAAAATATCCGATATATGAGGGGCTCATCTATCCCTCGGATATACATGTCTGTGTCGAAGGCGTCTATGTGGACCTGTGGGTCATAACTTTCCATCATACTTCGGTAAGCGTGCCGAACAAAAATCCTCAGGGAAAAGAGCATTCAGAATTTCACCACTGAAGGGGCTATTATTGTACTGCCCTCTACTGTATTTCCTCCTATATCACCAGGTTCAACTCGTCCTCTGGTGGTTTGAACACTTTGATTTGGATGTGTACCATCCCAGTTTCTCTGGCCATTTGCTCTTGTGAAGAATTTTGGTCCAAAGTTTGCACAACCGCGTTCTGATCACCTGTTCCAATGTCCTACATATTTGGACCCATTGTGCTCCCAGGATTAGGTCTTTCATTGTTGCTTGGGTTCGTACCCGGTGTGATCACTGGATCGGGCCTTCCGTGGTTTCCCACCTCAGCAACCGGGTTGCGGTCCCCTTCCCGGCCATTTACATCTCGACCTTGGGCTCCTCTTGTATTTTCAGATCCTGCATTCTCCTTGTATTTTCTTCCTGTATCCTCTAGAAGTCTTCTTTTCGTTGGAGATTGTTTCGATTCTCCATCTCTTCCATTTGTCTCAAAATTGTAGCGAACGCATTTTGAGCAAGCCAAGAATCAGGATTTGCAGATTTGGCGACGTGCGCGGCTAAATCGCCAGGATGTTGAGGGGGATTGTTTAAAATTGGAGCCACAACTTGGTTGGTATGTGACAGAGTGGAGACTGTGTCTGACACATCCTCACTGACATGAACATGTTCATAATCTATTCATTCTCAGGCTGGTTTTGAGGTTGATTCACCTCTTCCAAGACTGGATCCAGCGACTGATTCTGAGGGTGTGGCTGTTGGCGAGTGCTTCTTGTACGGACTGCCTGAAAGTAAAATGGCCTTGAAGGCCGTAGCATGTGAGAGGGAAAAACAAAATTTTCATATGCGGAATTACACATGCAATCAAGAATCATGCTTTATGGCATGTGATGTTACCTTTGATTGTGAGTTCAAAACTCCAAGACGATCAGTGTTAGGTTTGAAGGGTTCAAACCCTTTAACGTTGATCCGCACCACCCACGTCAAGATGCAAGAACGCTTTCTTGAAAGCCACCAATTGACCACCACAGAGAGGCTTGCTATGCGCTCAATAGGTGAAGAAGGAGGCTAGGTATATGTGTTTAGAAGAGTGAAGTCTCCAGCATGAAAACTTCACAATAGTGGGAATGGTATATAGAAGAATTGGCTAGGTTCTTTTGAAAAACCTTAAGGAGGAACTCACCAACTAGGCGCACAAAAGTGGCGCACAAGTGAGTGAGACAAAGGTGGAGTTGTTGCAATTCAAAAATCCCAACAACCTCCCCTTTGAATCCTCATAAGACTAGGTCTTTATCCAGTCAAAATTCTGAACCAATGGTCATCATATGACCACTAATTCATCCGCCCCTATTCAGCCTAAAAAGGGTCCAGATACATTTGAGCTGTTGTTGCATTCAAGTTTGAACCAACTAGCTCACTGATTCTCTCAACAACCAAATTTGATTGGAGCTTGTTGGTTTGACAAGATGACAATCATTTCCCACCAAAATGGCGCCCCAAATCAGCCCTTGGAGATCTCCATAGATCTTCTCTTGATACAAGGGATTTGTTCCAACAAGATCTCATCTTATCCTTTTGTTATGAAACAACTTTTCATAGCCAATTCAAATTCGATTTCAAACATTTAAATTCAAACGTTCAAACATTTAAATTCTTAATTCAAATTCAAATTCAAATTTCAAATTCAAAATTCAAATTTCAAAATTCAAATTTCAAATTTCAAAATTCAAATTTCAAAATTCAAATTTCAAATTTCAAATTCAAAATTCGAATTTCAAAATTCAAATTTCAAAATTCAAATTTCAAATTCAAAATTCAAAATTTAAATATTTGATAATTAATTTAACTAATTAAATTAATTAGTAATGTCTTGGACCATCCAAGCCCATTAACAATACCATGCGCCCTCTCCCTCTTAGGTGGGCTTCCAAACTTCATCTTGGGGCAACAACCATTATTAGGCCCAATACCTTTAATGCTATATCATCATGACATTAAGGTGTTAGTGTGTGACCCATTAGGTCCAACATAGCCACTGACATAAATGGGCTCGGGCCCAACAAGCCCATAACCCATTTAATGACAACACAGAGCACTAGCAATGCTTTGTTGCCCCAGAGCTAGTTAGATTAATGACTTGATCATCCTATTACACATATTTGGTTGCCGTATGTATTTCTTTTCGTCTCGGTTACCTTCCCATAAAACCTAGGGTAAGGAAGCGTATCAACCCTTGCGGTTTAGGGTAAGCTTTATTCGAAATAGGGAATCTTCAATTTACTGACTCTAAAGGCAGATCATCTCATGATCTCTTTTACTATGCATAGATTCCCGAGTCCCTGTAAATGTCATCCCGATTTCTCCGGTTTACAGATAACCTAATCTCTCACAGAGATTTGACGAATTCCTTCATCTTATCACCCTAGCCCTGTGCTCTTTTAGGACAAGCCCAACAGTATACCTATGAGTCTCCATGTTTCAGGCAGACGAGGTATACAGTTAAAGGATGCCTTCTAGAACACAGTCTAGGTAATAACTTCTGGTCTAAGGAAAGACATACCCAATTATAAAGAGACTACTCTAATGATACTCTCTGTGAGATTTCCTTGAGTGCCTTCTCCAAGATATTTGTGGAAGAGATATCCTTGAGTCAAGCAGATCACTGTGTACAATAGACTACTAATGGCGTTAGCCAAAGGGGTGTGTGTGCACAGTGACAGCATAACAGTAAGAGAGAGTGTAACATACCTTTAAGGTTTACCTTGTATTTATAGAGGTTGCATGTGGGTAATGTGATGTGGGCCTTTAGTACCTCTGATAAGGGCTCAGGTCTGTCCGCTATGCTGTCGTATTAGGATTAGTATCTTTGATGGATACTATCCATAACTATACTTGATTTGAATCTTGGATTACCCCTTATTAGGCCTGTCATTCTATGGGCCCTTTATACGGGTCCATAACAAAAACCAAAAATCACGGTAAGACAATTTGGGGCTTATGTTCTCTCTTTTCCCGATAACAATGAAAACAAACTTGTTGAGGTGTTGGAATACGAGCCAAGGTAACTTGTGTGTTCTAAATTTTAGTAGTACTATAGCAGATACGGTAGAGAGGGAAATTAGATCATATTATATAAGTGATTGGAGATCAATGTTAAAATACATCTGTGATCAATTGACTTTGAATCCGGAAGGGATTACAAATTCACAAGCTTTGATTTTGATAGAACATGTGATAGGATAATAGTTATTCTGTCTACCTGAAGATTTTATGTTCTATAAGCCTCCAAGATTCCATGGGGTAGTCAAGAAATGAGATAGATTGTAAACACTACTAGTGTTGATTAAATAAGAGTTAGTCATACTACAGAAATTATTTGTAAATATCTGTTAATTTTAATTTCTTACATTGAGTAAATGGAATCCTTACGCTGATATTTTATGGGATAATTTTATGCTTGGATTGTTTTTTTTAATTTATCATCAATTTGGAGCATTTTGGTGATCCAATAAAATCATGATAATTGCTAATTGCAAATATCAATTATGAGTTACAATGAGCTACCCATGACACTTATTAGTACCATGGAATAGTAATATTAGCACTTTTTTTTGAAGAATTGGTATCTATTCAACAAATATTAAATTTATTATGTAATGTATATATTTTAAAACAAATAAATAATTAAATTACTTGAGTTTAAAAAATAAATCAATAACTATAAAAAATCAAATAAAAAACAAGTTTTGAAACCAAGTTAAAAGTGGGTCAGGTAGGATTTGACCCGATTTTGAAACCAAGTCAGACCGACTTCAAAAACCAAGTCAGGTCGGATTTGATCCAATTCTGAATCAATTCAAAAAAGATTCAAATAATCAGACCTGACTTGGATCAAATTAAATTGGGTCGGGTCAAAATACTTTGACCTATAAAACCAAGTTGGGTCGGGTCGGCACAAAAACTCGACTCGACCCAACCCATGCCCAGCCCTAATCGTCTCTCTGTCTTATTATCCTTGGAAAACCACCTCCCAAAGCTGAAATAGCTGACTTCAAGTAATCTAAGAATAAAACTGGTTATAAACCATTGTCACTGACCCTACTAAAACTCCCAAGTAAGGACCGAATGCAGGTGAAACCCAAAACCTCACACCCACCATTCTCCAAGAAATTACTACCCATTTTTGTAGTTAATAGTGCCTTGAAACACTAAATATGAATGGAAAAACCAAGAAACCAAGGAGAGAAAGCCGATCAAAAGAGTAAACCATAGGGCAGCTTATAAGCTCTTTCCTGAAATATATGATGCAAAAATCTCGTTGCTAAAATAGAGTTTGGCTATTTAAATTCATAGCTTGACTATCTTGTTCAGCAATGTGACAATTACACAATGATCCTTTAAACTGAATTATTTTTTAAATGAATTAAATAATGATAACGGTCCTATAAAATAATAATTTTTTTTTATACAACGTTCCTAAAGATAAAGGAATTTAATTTATCCAAGATTACTTGAGGGACAAACAATCTTGTATGTTCAACTCATGTTGACCCTTTTTACTCACGCCAAGCCATTAATGGGCAGCACAGATCTCCAAACACTAATTGAATTCAAATCACCAATCAAGAGATTTAACGTAGTGATCAAGTGTTCTAATAGTTAGTACCCAAGTTTACGGATCTTGATCTTAGCCGAACATTGCCACCTTTATATTAAGTTGTTCCATTACTTCTAGTATCATATATAGTGTGCACAACACAATGGCTAGCGTTTGGAAGTCATGGTGTGTTTTGTTTACTGCACTTCATTTGTTGCACATCACGTCTTCAAATTTCTTGGTCGATAATCTACCAGGTTTTGGGAAACTTCCATTCATGTTGGAAACCGGGTGAGTTACTATTACTTACAAATTGATGAAGGCATGAGAGTGGCTAGTAATAATGATTAAACTGTGCTTGCTCAGTGACACTGACATACAAGATACAACATATAATGAAGGTACATAGGAGTGGGTGAAAGAGAAGAGGTGCAACTATTTTATTATTTTGTTGAATCTGAAAGTAGTCCCATGAATGATCCACTCCTGCTTTGGCTTGTTGGAGGTCCTGGTTGCTCTGGCCTTTCTGCTTTCTTCTATGAAAATGGTAAACATTTTTCTAACAAATCCTCTTAATATTTTTATATTTATTGAAATAAACAGTATTAAATAGCAATTACTAATGCATTACAAAAAATATAGTATTTTTTCTGTGAGAAATTAATATCTCGATATACAGAATTAATCTCCCTGCAGATATTCCTTACCAAAGGCCATTGCAGTGTTTAGATATCATTTGAGTCAATACAGTCATCCTAGGAAGCCGACGTTCCTATTAGGTTGAATAGGATGACTTGTCAAATTTATCGTTTAAGTATATTTTAGGTAACTTATTGACTTAATTAATATTTAATAAACGTTTTCATGCAAGAAAATCACATAACAATAGAAAAAGAGTGAACGATGCTTTGAAATATATTATTATAAAATTACGATTCGATAAATAAAATTATAATTTACTATGTAACTAAATAATAGTAATAAATAAATTAGTATTATATATATCTTTTGTTATCTCAAATAATAATTTTTTATCATTGAATACATAAATATATATAGTTCATTTTTTATTATTTAATAAATTATAAGCCTACGTAAGGATAGTATAATTATTGTTATCAACTACTTACCCTTAGCATTGAATTTAATTTTCTCTTTTAATGTATAAATTTATCTTGTAATGACAATATGTGTATAAAATAGTAAACTAACAAAAAGGATATTTTATAAAAGAAAAAATAGAAAAGTTTCATAAATTGAGTTTAAGTTTCATAATTTGAATAAGTAAAACACAAAATTTAATTTTAATTAGAGTCATTTAATTAAAGTATTTAGACTTCAGTAATTTCTATTATAAGGATTTAGTTCTATTTCTTTAATTAAAGGATTTCGTGAGTCCAAGAAGCCCATATTAAATCTTGAGCAGACTTGGTTGCTCATGGTACAATTGATTTTCCTTACTCGGTGAAGCTACGCTGCTTGTTTTAACATCTTTTGCAGGACCATTAAAGTTTAATTATGACAATGTTAATGGGAGTTTTCCAGAACTTCAATTGAATCCAAACGCTTGGACGAAGGTATTCACTTTGCAGAGTTAATTCTAAATCCACCTAACTGTTTCTCCTAATAATCTTTTTAATTGTTATCAAAAAAAAAAATCTTATTAATTACTAAATAAAAAATAATAATATTTATATTTTTATATTCTTAATATATATATATATATATATATATATATATATATATATATATATATATATATATAGCAATCAATAAATATAAGTCTTAAACAATAACGTTATTCATAAATCTCTGTAAATTTTGTTATTGTGTTAATATATGTCTTAAATTTTCAATATCTAAATTTTGAATAAGGTTACTTTAAAGTGAGATTATCTTTAAAGCGTAGAAGCAGTAATAACGTTTTCACTTTAATTATGTCAAGTATGATCGCAATGTACTTCAAATTAAATTAAGAATGAATACACTCTTACTTGTATGCGCATTAGGCTTTTTGAATTGTGAGGAAAGATGTGACAGTGAATTGTACACAGTCTTACTCATGTATTTTTTGTAAAAAAATGTGTCCTAGACTAGAGTGCGTAACCTTTCGATCACAAGGAGCTAGTTACTGTTGTTCCAAGACTTGCCTTATTTATTTTTAAAAAAACTCTTTATCAAAAATAAAAACTCAGTGTGATCCACCCTTAAATTTAATTTCAACTACAGTGTGGTTTTAGAGCCCATTTATCAAAAAGTAACTTTTATCTCTTCATTATTTTAAAAATATTTTTTACAAAAGTTAAAACTATTTATATTTTTATAACAATATTTAGTTTTTGAAAAAAATATTTGACTTTTGACTTCGGATTTTTTAGAAGTTAAAATTATTAGCTTCTAAAATAAAGTAGATTTTTGACTTTTTTTGTGACTTTTACTTTTTTTGAAAGCAGACATCCAAATGAACTAAAAAAGAGAAGTTATTTTTTTCAAGAAAAAAAGCAACTTTTGAAGGAAAAAAGCATATCCAAACGGACCCTTAACCCTTTAAATTTCATGTGAAACATCATTATTTGTATACTTTACAAATAAACTTAATTTAAAGGAACATTATTCAAAGTTTACATATTAAAAGGTTAACACTTACCTTAACACAAATAGTAAGTATTTTTCTTCATTAAGTTATTTACTATTCTTCCTCCTTGGTAAAGTTAGTTATATTTATATTTTTAAATTTTACCACTAGAGTTACATTTATATTTTTTTTCTTTTTAATTAAATTATTTTATTTGAAATAATCATGGGCCTATGACATGTGCGTGCAAGATTGATAAAATCTGGTCGTGCGTGTACATGTAAATAACCTTCAAGCTCTTAGAAATAACTCCTATTGACTGATCGATCCATATAAGTTTTCAGGTACTCAACATGATATATATCGATGCACCTGTTGGCACCGGATTTTCTTACTCAAAAACCCAACAAGGTTATTATAGCAATGACAAGCAATGGGTGGAGCATATGTATGATTTTCTGAGAAAGGTTCACAATGTTTTTTAATTATTACTTTCAAGGAAACTTCTAGTTGCTGTTGTATTTGATGTTCTTTGCGTATGATAGTTGGAAGTTGTGATTGTTTTATCTTCTTTCTAGTGGCTTGTGGATCACCCTAAATTCAGATCAAATCAACTTTACATAGGTGGTGGTTCATATTCAGGCATGATTGTTACTCCCCTTGTGCAAAAAGTATATGAAGGTGAATTTTGTGAATTTTGACATTAGGATGAAGCGATTCCACAATAAAATTGTAATTTTATTTTCCTACAAAAGTTATTATTATTGTCATTTTTATTGACCTGCAGATTACAAAGCAGGGAATTTACCGCTCCTAAACATTCAGGTACACAAAGATGTCCCTGATTTATGTTGTTAGATAATATGGATATTGTTGCGACTTCGACAAGTGTACCGATCGTAAAAGTAATAAAAGTGTACGTGAGTACGAGATCGTTCCCACGAGGATTAGATTTCAAGCACTAGTTCACTATTTGCGCTTTATTTGGAGAAACGATTACGAGAACTTTGAATTAAAACTAAAATCGATTAGAAGCATAAGAATTCAGAATTAAAAACAAGCAATTAAAAAGAGTGTTTTGACAATTAAGAAAAATGTAGTTAAGGTTTCGATTTCCCCCAATTTCCTTATTATGATGTTATAGATTAAACAATTAAGTAACTGTCCTTAATATAATGCCAATTGATTCCTCTAAATTAATGAAGGTTCAATCCCTTGTTACCTCAATTCTTTGTGATATTAAAATAATCCTAGTTCCCTGGCTATTCCTCAAGAAAACATGCATTAATATCAAGAATTACATGATTGCATAATTACCCTATGTCTATCCCCAGATCACAAGAACTATGATGAATTTATCAAATCAGGGTTCATGCACCAACATCTCTATTGTCATACAATTACCCTAAATTAGTCTACAGGGAACAAACTCATTAAAAGCATTAAACATAGACAAATTCATTCAATTATAAAAAGCAAAATTACAGAGACAATTTAATCGATAAGCATAAGAATTCAATTGGGTTCCATATACTCTTAACTATATAAAAATCTAGCCTAGTATAGTGAAATCAAAGACAAGAGAAACTAAAGAAAATTTTCCAAACTCCATTGGTGTCAAGGCGTGAAGAGACCTTAAAACTCCCAGCTTATTCTTGAATTCAACTCGCTCCCGATACTCCAAAGCATGAAAGACGTGCTTCTCTCTCCAAAGTAGGGTTCACTATTCTCAATTATCAAAAGCTTCTCTTAATGGATCTGGCATTCCCTTTTAAATAGTGAAAATCGTGCTCTAAGTGAAAACAACGAGTTGGGCCTTTATTGGATCATAGATGGGCGGTACAACACTGGTTATAGCATTTTAACGCGCTAGCTTACACTTTTTAATTGTAGGAGAGCATTTTAACGCTCTTTAGCGCGTTGTAACGCGCTCATCGAAGGAAATTTCCTTTGTTGTAGTACGTTGTAATGCTCTGGAGCACGTTAAACTGTGCTCCTCCCGAACCTTTTTTCATGATTTTCACGTGATTTGCGCGTTGTAACACACTTTGTAGCGTTTCAATGCGCTCCTTCACTGTTTTCTTTTCTTCTTGGGTGCATTCCCGGACTTCTCTGATCTTTCATTCCTACTCCAAGTTTTTTACTTCATCCTTGCACCCATTTAAGTCAATTTTCCTTCAAAACACACAAGAACGAATTACGTTAGATCACATTCCATCTTTCATGTTTTTTAACTATAAAACCTAAGTATTCATGCCTTTGACTCTATGTAAATCATGTAATATTAGTCCTAAAAACATAATAAATTAAAGGTATATATCAACCATTCCCAGATTTGAATATTGTTTTCCTCAACAATCAACTAGAATAAATTAGAAACAAGACTATGAAGTATTCAGACTTAATTATAGAACAATAATGATGCATCGCTCAAGCAAGATTTGTAATCCATCAATCATATAATTGTAACAAGAATTCTCAAGACAAAGAATAGGAAAATTTAGCTAAAACACCCCCTCACTAGGATTTTCAATTTACTCACACTCAAGTGTTTGAGAGTTTGTGTCTCATTCATCCTTCACTAAATGAACACCATCATAGGCTTGCTTATATTCTCACTCTCCACATTTTTAATGATATATAAAGCATATCAAGAGGCCTTTGTTAGAATTGTAACATGGCCTTGCTAAATGGAAAAGAACAATTAGCAGAGATTGTAACATGGCCTGGCTCATGGGGTTGCACTAGTTCTTCTGATTATACCAGATCTCATTCACTTCAGCAGACTCTTGTGCTCTGTAACACCCCGTGTATACCCTGTTTGTTATCATGTCATCGTATTAAGCTATGCTTAATTAAAATTGCGGAATAACTTTTTCTTTTCAATTATGACGTCATTAATATTACCAAGTTGATTACTTAATCTATTTTCATAAATATTGCCTATATGTAATTTGCAACAAAGCTAAATAAATACACTGAATAACCTCAATATATAAATAAAGGTGGGTATCTAAGTCACGGAACTACAACACGTAGTCCAGACCATAATCCTGATACATTTAAATAACTCAATACTAAAGTCAAAAATAGTTAATCAATGCGGCATGGACAACCCCTATGCTCACCAAATAAGGCAACAAAGCCCAACAGAGTCAAATAACAGAATAATAAGAATAAAGCAGCATCCAACCAAAGCAGTATAATCATCATGCAACAGTCAACTAAGCTTCGGCCTCCTGCCGCCCGAGGTCTCAACCCCTGAGTTACCTGAACCTGAAATATGTGCCCCAAACGTGGGGTGAGATCTCTAAACAGAAATCTCAGTAAGGCAAGGGGTCCTCAAGGATTTCTCCACCCCAAGCTCACTTACACGTGAAATATAAGTTCTAAAAGCAATATACAATATCAGTTCCAAAACCAGTGCAATGCAACAGATAATCATGTCATATGTGTCAAGATATTCTACTAGCCAGAGAAATGTAGAATTTACATACGTCTATTACCTACATCAGTGCAAGATGCCACTTGCACCACCCACAGAATCACAGTATTGTATGACGCCACAAACTCAGACTTACCGTCTAGGTGGAACAACACATGCATATTATAAGGCCCTTGTACATAACAACTAACAACATTTCAAAATCAATACATAAAAATACATCATGCATATAAATCATCCCCCCATGAGGTACGGTGGAACCAACAATGGCTAAATCGAGGACACGAAAGCTTACCTCTAAGCGATCAATCCAATCGAAGGTCCACACCTGCTCAAAGTCCACACACAACACAATCACAATATGTTTGGGAACAATAATCATATCAATATTCACACTCTACAAGCATATGACATAAAGACCACGCCTTCTTTTTACGTTTCATGTCTTTAGGCTTCTCACAAAGCCATAAGCCTTTAATCACTTAGATTATGACTTAGATTAATTATTACAGAAGTCCACGTTAACCAATCATGGGTTCACAAACCCAAAATAGCATTTTGTATGAACAGTACAGTTACTGTCTCGAAATTCCCAGAATATCCGGATATATATTGGGGCCATATATGGATATCCATATCCGGATATCACAAAGCCCATATACAGATGTCAATATCCAGATATCAATATCCGGATATCATATCCGGATATTTCGCGACAGAATGCAGTTTCTGCATTTCGCGAGATATCACTCCCAAGGTTCCATTTTTAATCCATTTCAACGACTAAGCATGCATTTTTACAGACATTTAGGTTCATATATAGGTTGGTTACTTAAACAATTCATTAAACATGCCAATACCCCACTTTTAACCAAGGAAACTCATGATCAAAGGTGGTGGAGCTTACCCAAAGGTTCAAAACAGAATAGGAATGCTCTTGGAGCTCACCAATCAGCCCCAAAGGTTCTGACTACAAGGAACACGAAAATGCCTCCACAAGAATGGTCATTTCTCTTCAAAGGTCACTCCTTGGAGCTCCCACAACCAAGGAAATGGTTCCCTCTTCAACAACCAAGAAATCAGCTTCCCTACCACTACTAAACAGGGGCCAAAGCTCAGAAAATGGCAGACTCCACCCTCACAAACCACTCTACCAAGTGTTTACCATGTATAGAGGAGAAGAATCAATGGAAAAGAGGTGACTTGAGAGGTTTTTCAAGCAAGAAAGACCATGGAAGAAGGTGACAAGCATGAAGACACACTCAGCAGCCAAAACCGACGCATAAAGGTTGAAGAATTAGCCTAGGGTTGTGTGAAAAGATCTATTTATAGGCCACTTAAATTAATCACAATGTATTAGCGCTAATAGCTACGCTTAGTATTTTAATCCCAAACTTTGGAATCTGAACCTACTCATTTTTCTAAGATTTGTCATATTTTTTTTTATTTTTCGTAGTACTTTTCCGGTACGCGCTTTTACATAGCCAATATCAGTTCTGACACCAATTCTCATTATTTCGACTTGAAACTTGTTTACAAGTCCTATATATTTTTCTAGGAATATTTCAACACTTATTATAATTTTTCGGGATACTTCATCGGTACGCATTTATACCGAGGAGCGGAAACGGTATCTGCACTTTTCGTCAGAAAAGCGACTTTCAGCATTATTAAATCATGTACCATAATTATTCAAGCCTTATCATAATTATTAGGGTCAGTATGGAATTATTTATTTAATCTCATATTTATTTAATTAATTTCTCAATTTAACGGTGCGGGTACTTACATTCACCCCACCTTTTTAGAATTTTGTCCTCATAATCAGAAACATACTTGTCCCGAAACTCGGGGTATTGCCGGAGAAGCTCGTCCTCTCTCTCCCAAGTACACTCCTCAAAGTTCTTCCCGTCCATTGCACCTTGACCATCGGAATGATCTTGCTCCTAAGCTTCTTCTCGCCACGATCGAGAATCTTGAGTGGTCCGACGGGAGTTTTCAAGTTCTCCCGAACTTCCACATCATCTGATTGCACCACGTGCGAAGGGTCTACTATGTACTTCTGAAGCTGAGACACGTGAAACGCGTCGTGGATGTTGGCCAAGTTCGGGGGCAAGGCAAGCCGGTAGGCAACAAGTCCTACTCTACCAAGGATCTGGTAGGGCCCTATGAATCTCGGGCTCAGCTTCCTCACTCTGAGGGCCTGACCAACATCAGTGACAGGTGAAACAAACACGTGCTCACCCTCACTGAACTCCAGTTGACGATGCTTAACATCATAGTAACTCTTCTAGCAATTCTGCGTCTGCTTCAGCTTTTCCTTGATCAACTGGATATGCTGGGTAGTATCTTGGACAAAGTCCAAGCCAAAAAGCTCCTT